CAGCTCAGGCCCCTTCCACCTCCCACCTCCCTCACGCTCCACTTCACTCTGCATGACCCCCAATCCTGCCCTCCACATATCTCCAGTACTCACTGAAGGACCATTCCCTCTCCCACACTCACTGGAGGACTCCGCGCTGCTCTAGGCTGTACTTGCCACCATTCCGCATGGCTGCATTGTGCACAGCCTCAATGGCCCGGTCAATGGCTTGGAGGACATCCTGCTCCAGGCCCTGGGGGAGCAGGGATGGACAGTTAGACCTAGGGGCCAAGTGAGGGTCCTGAGCCCAGACCCAGCTCCGGATGGAGCCCAGGGCAGACAGAACACCACTACAGCTAGAGCCTGGAATACTAGATGTAAACATGGAATGTGACCTAGAATATGAAATGGGGTTCTCAAACTGCACCACTCAGGGAGCTGAGGCACAGGGTGGCCCCCATGTGGCCACTTTACATACCGGGGACATGCTCAGGATTTTACCCCACAGTGAGGTTCTCAGCTACAACGTCTCAGAAAACCAGGAGTCTAGAGGAAAAACACAGCCCAAAGACCCTCAGCTTGAGGCCAAGAGTACACACCTAGTCTATCCCCAGACTTGGCTCAGAGCCTAGACTGAGATGCCAAACAGGGAGCCTCTACTGTCTGGAGCCCTTAACAAATCACTCTGGATCTTGCTGATCCTTCACAAAACCAAGGTCACACTCCAGAACAGCCCTGTCCTTGTAGAGCCTTCTGCATCCCCTGGTAGCTGAGGATAGACCAAAGGGAACTCCTCTATCCACCCCTGCTGCCAGCCCTCATCCCCTCAAGTTGTTCTAGGAATCTTCCAGATCTACCCTAGGAAGTAGCAGTTCTGTGTGTGTGGCAAAGCACAGATATGAAAGAAGGGCCTGGTCCCTGTCCCAGATTCTGTATTGCCATGCCCAGTAACTCAAGGGTCCAATCTACCCAGCCTGCCTGGCATGGAGTAGGGAGTAAGGGGTAGCAGCTGTGGGACCAGCCACTTCCACTCCTCCCCTGTCCCTGGCACACATGGTCCATTAGGCTACACAGGAGCCCCAGAACTGATGTGATGTCACTCCAGAGCAAGTTTGAGAAGCTTCCCTGATGGGGGCTGACAGAGGGACACAGAGGTCAGCAAAGCTCTCCAGGTAGCATGGGGTGTGCCAGAGTGCAGGGAGACAGCAGACAGAAAGGGGGAGAGAAAGAGAAAGACACACATACACAGAAAGTAAGAAGGGGCGGGGGAGGGACACACAGAGGGAGACAACGCAGAAAGAAATTGAGTGCCGGAGACAGAGGAGAGAGTCAGAAGAAGGAAGAGACATACACAGGGGGGGAGTCAGAATGACATAGACATACAGAGAGAGTTAGGGAGACTGAGACAGAGGCAGATATGCAGAAAGCAAACAAGAGATAGAGAAGATGGTAGCCTCTCTGCCCTCCCTAAACACCCAGCCACAAGGGCCCTGGCTGGGGGAGGGGCCTTATGGGCCCTTGGGGAAGAGGTAAGACTTTCCTCAGAGGCCTCCCAAAGCCCCCATCCCCAGAGAGGCTAGGTCTGACATGCTCATTCCAGAACCAGCAGCCCTGGTGTCCAGGGCTCCTCACTCTCACCCCAGGCACTCCTAGATGGGATCAGGCTGAGGGTCCAGGGCCCAGGGCCCATCCCCTCTGGTAAGACCAGAGGACATCTCCAAATTTATCCTGTTATTTTTGTCCTGAACCAGGCTGGAAAAGGATGTTTCCTAAAGGGTAGGGACTAGGATGGGGCCAGGGTGTCTGGCACAGGCCAGGCCTGGAGGCTCCCGGCCCTCCTTCCCAGTGATCAGAATAGACCAGCTGGAGACACTGCACCCCAGCCCCCATAGCAGGACTATTCTTGGGGAACAGGAACGGGGGCTGCAGCCTCCATTGGAAGGAAATGGGGCCAGAGTCAGAGCAGGGGAAGCCACAGGGAGGACTTGCTTCCTCATAATGGGAGCAGCCCCCACTCCAGGCTGGGGACAAAGAGGAATGGAGCTCCTTCACTTTCAGAGAAAGGAAGACTGAAAAATCAGGGCCTGAGGCTTGTGAGGGATGGTGGGCAGGGTAGTGCCAGGGAGTGTCAGCAGGGGCTGGGATCCTCGGTTCAGAGACGGTTGGGGGTGGGGGAGTGTCTTAGGAAGAGCTTAGGGGGTGGCTGAGTACATGGCAGTGAAAATGACACTGAGGTCTCAGAGCTTTGGGGGTCATCTAGGGGATGGGGGTGTCTACAGGTTCAGGGTCCAAGTCGCGGAGTGAGGACATGGAGCATGGTTGGGGAAACAGTGGTGTCCCAGGTGGCCTGGGTCTCAGTGGTGGAAGCAGTGGCTCCAACCGGGGATCTGAGAGTGGGAGGCAAGAGTATGGGATCCCGGGGATCCAAGAAAGGGGCCGATTAAGGATCTGAGGTCTCAGAGATCTGGGGAACTGGTCAGTATCCGGTGGTGCTGGAATCTAAGGGCTGACTCTTGAATTCTGTTGAGATGGGGCGTTCAGATATTGGGTCCCGATGGGTCTGGAATCCCAAGGAGTCTCAGTCCCAGAGTTAGGATTCTGATAGGTCTAGAGTCCTCAGAATTGGCTGTCAAGGGCCTGGTCTTCTGAGGCAGTGCGGGCTCTTGGGGTCCCAGTCCTCGTGGGTCTGGGGTCTCAGGGTCAGGTTCTCAAAATCCCTATCTGCTGGAGGTCCTATTGGGTCTGGGGTTCCGGGGTCGGTCCTGAGAGCCCGTGATGGCCCAGTCTAGGGCCGCGGAGGCCGGGCAGGGGAGGGGCACACTCACCTGCAGGCGGCGCAGGTAGGCGGGCGGCACGTAGCCCGTCTCGCCACTGCGCGCCCGCGCCGCCAGCCACCAGTGCGCGCTGCTGCGTTCCAGCACCAGAAAGGTTTCGCCCGCGGCGAACGCCAGAGCATTGGGCTCCGCTGAGCGGAACGCGTACAGCGCGCGGTACATGGGGCCGGGCCGGGGTGCGCCGGGGCAGGGTAGGCGGCGAAGGCTGCGGAAACAGGACACCAGGCCGGGAGCGCCTGGCCGCGCTCGCCCCGCCCCGTGACACATGACGCGTGCGCGCGCGTGCACGGCCGCCGCAGCCCCGCCCCGGGAGTGTGTCGGCTGCCGCACGGAAGCGCGGAGCTCCCTGGCGGCCCCAAGCGGTGAGGCCCGGCGCGGCTGGAGAGTCCGCCGCCCCTTCTGCCCGACCCCTACCCCGGCACCCTCCCAGAGCACCAGCCCCAGCTTCTCCTGCCTGGCCCTCCATTCCCTTTCTCCGCTCAAGCTCGAGTGCTGCGGCCCGTCCTGCCACCCGAAGGAGCCCTTGGCCCGCTACTCAGCGGCAGAGCCTGTGTCCGGCGCTCGTAGTCCCGTGCGTCCCCGTTACCCCAGGGGAGTGAGTCCTGACCTACTAACAGTAAGGAGGGCGACCCCGTTTGGGTAGTCCCATCGTTGCATCTCGCTGATCCGATACTTGGAAGCGCCCGCAGGTGCCAGATCTCCACGGCCTTATGACCCCTCTTCACCACATACCGCGCCAGTGGTGGGCAATGGAGAGCAAGGGTGAGCAGGAGACGGTAAAAACAGAAACCAAGTTGTGCCATACCCGGCCCAAAGTCCCTCCCATCCTCGTTCCCCAACCACGTCCTCTCCTCAGCCACCAGCCTCTCGCGTCCTCTCTAACGTGGGTCTTTGCATTTGCTTCCTCTGCCTGGGACACATTTCCCTCCCTCACAGCATAAGGTTGTCAGGCTCCCACCCCATCCATCGCTATCACATAGCTCTATTGCCTTTATAGAACTTACAACTCCACATTATCTTGTGATGCTCCCTTCTGAGAGCAGACAGGAAGGCTGGAGGAGGGGTGGCAAGTGGGATGCTCTGTAGCCTTAAGAGTTTGTTTGACCTGCCCACCTTTCCAGTCAGCCCTAATCTGTCTTTTAAGTCCTACAAGGGTTAGGGGGGAACACAGGGGAGAGGCCCTAAGGGTCCTAGGGAGAGGATCCTACGGAGAGGGTCCCTGGGGGCCTCCCATTCCTGTCCAAGGGCTAGTCCAGCCACATTCCCCACTGGAAGCCTGGGCCCAGGAAGCAGGAAATGTGGGCACAACCAGGCCAGTGTATGCAGTTGGCCTGTTTTTGGACAGACTGGACATAGGCATAATGGTCCTTGGTGAGGAGATGCTGGGAGATTCACGAAATGGGTAGGACTGCTAGAACTGAACATCCAGACCCTTCCTTCTTGGCACTGGGTCTGTGCCCTTCTCCCTGGTGTTTCTGCAGTTCAAGACTCCTGCCACACCTCCTCCTCCCAGAAACCCTCCTAGCACAAAAGTAGCTTAGGGGCTGCCCTGGCCGGAGCTGTGTGAAAGATGAGACTGGTGTAGTTGTGCTGGGGCCCAGGGCTGGGTAGGAGCGATGACAGGTGGTATGGCTAAAAGGACCACCCCACATAGAAGACTCTCTCTCCTAGGACCCGCTCCCCCGACCCCACGGCCCCGGGACCCTTCACCAGAGCCCATGGCTGCCAACAGATCGGAATCTGGCAGCTACTTGAGGCCTCAGTATTGGCTTCAGGACTCCTGACATCACAATGTCCAGTCAATCAGCTGCTGCCGGTGGCGTAGGAGCTGGACTCAAGTTTTGGCACACCTATTGCCCAACTTTGGCTTTACCTGCATGAGGGCAGGGAAAGACCTGTGTCAAGATTCAAGTGTAGTTCTTTGCATAGGGAGTGCTGGGACACTAGGCCAGCATAGACCCCAGAGGGACCTAAGGTTGTATGTGTAGGAGTCTTTTTTGTTTTTTGGGTGACCTCAGGGTGCTAGATTAGGGGACTGAGGATAAAGCCAAGAGGCTGTCATGACTTTAGGGTCCATGGGGTGGGGGCAGTGGCAAGGAGAACACTGGTCACAGCATGTGTGAAGCTTCTGAGGGTCAGGAGGGGGGCTGGCTGCCTGCCCCTAGCAAGAATGACAGCAGTACTGTATACAATTAACAAAAAGATCTATATTAGAACATTTACACTCAGGGAAGAAAGAGGTACCTGCATCATCAAACGTGGAATGTTGAAGAAATAGTTAAAATAAATAGACTCCGAGCACAGTTAGGGCTGGCTCAGGCTGGGACTCAGAGAGGCCTCTGCACATCAGCTCCAGGCTGCAGGGGCCACCACCTGACCATACTGGCCTCCTCCCTGACGCAGCACAGCTGTGCCTGGGACACAGAGAGTCTCTCAGGTGCTAGGGCAGCTAGCAAGCTCACTCCCCACCTTCCTCACTTATCTCTGTAACAATGTCTATCAGGCTCTGGAGCCCAAAGATATAGCCAGCATCCTGGCCCTCATGTACCACGCTGTCCTCGCCATACAGCCTGCACGTGGTATGTGCAAAGTCAATCATGCGGACGTCCACTGAGCTGGCACCAATGGGCTTGTAGGCATAGGCACCAGCAGACTCATCGGCTGACTCCTCTGACAGGTCCTCCAAGTCCTCAGCATCTGAGTCCAGGGCCACCTCAGGCCGTTCCTTGCCATCGTAGATGACCAGCAGGGAGCTTGAATAGAAGCGGTAGGACTCCTGTCGCTCTAAAACAGCCTTGAGCTCAGCCAGCTTCTTAAGCACAGGGCCCAGGAGCTCACGGCGCAGGTACCGCCCATTGTGGAAGAACTGAAAAAGGGCCTCCTTGAAGCCTTGCACCGACAGCTTCCGTCCATGATATTTGTTCATGAACATGAGCTGTCCGCTGCCTGCCTGGTACACCTGTGGAAGGAAGACGAGCAGGTCAGGTGCTGATAACCACCTCAGAGCATGGACCCTGGGGAGTAGCAGCAATATGATACTCCTGGATCAAATCCTTTAACTTGTTAAGTACACCAGTCACACCAGACACTGTCCTTTGATCAACACCCACTTGGATGCAGCCCTCTGACTTGGGTTCTGTCCTCAGCCCTCTGCTCAATGTACAAGCTAGTGGAGAAGGCCTAACCCTCTTGCCTTCCCTTTCCTCTCCTGTCCACACTCTGGACTCAGCCAGCCCGGCCAGTCCCAGAGGGGATCACCCAGGCATGTATGCCTTCTTTTCTAACCTGGAAAGCAACACACTCAGTCAAATCTGGCATTTGAGAAAAAAGGACTATGTTGGGGGGGGGGGGGGGGGGGCGGGGAGCAGCTACTGGATGCCCTAGCAAGCCCATGCCATGCACCAGCACTCTCCTCACCTGCATGCCACACACACGGACACCAATGACCGCAGATGTGCTCTGCTGGCATTTGCGGATCTGGTTGGCTGCCTTCTCCTCTGAAGCATCGTCACCATGCTGGCGCGTACCCATCTTGAGATCCAGGACACATGGCACCTCATAGCGGGAAGTCAGGTTCTCCAGTAAGATAAATTCTGAGTAGTTAAGGACAATCCCCCCTCTAAAGAGAAGGTGCTGCTGCATGAGGCTTTGGCACTCCCAGGGCACAATTCTGGCACACACAGGACCTCAGAGAAGCCTAGGTCCACACAGGGTCCCATCAGTCCTGCTCTCTCTCATGCACGGAGCCCAAGGCTGAATAGGGGGCTAAAAGGCATCTTCAATTCTTGTCAAGAAAACTGGTCTAAGAACAGCCTGGGAGATACACACATCATTTCCTGAATTCAGCAAGGTGTAGGACCATGTCCAACAACATATAGTCCTAAATTATAAACAGAACATCAAATAAGTTCAGTAAATCCTGTAGCTTTAAATATGAACTGGAAATGTAAGTATGAACTCATGAAAAGTTTTGTCTTTAAAATATGTATTTCTGGGGCCGGCCCGGTGGTGTAGTGGTTAAGTTTGCACATTCGGCTTCTCAGCGGCCCGGGGTTCACCGGTTCGGATCCTGGGTGCAGACATGGCACCACTTGGCACACCATGCTGTGGTAGACGTCCCACATATAAAGTAGAGGAAGATGGGCACGGATGTTAGCTCAGGGCTGGGCTTCCTCAGCAAAAAAGAGGAGGACTGGCAGTAGTTAGCTCAAGGCTAATCTTCCTCAAAAAAAAAAAAAAAGTTATTTCCTAGCTGTGTGCACTGAAAAGGTCTTGAAACGATGACCAGATGTATGAGCACCCCTAGTGCCCAGACCAGTGCTCCTAGAGCAGAGATTAGTGAACTACGGCCCCCTGCTCACTGCTGTACAGGCTGTAAGCTAGAAATGGTTCTAACATTTTTAAGATGTGTGTATGTATATGTATAAAATACTTCATGACACATGAAAATTAAATGAAATTCAAATCTCAGTGACCATAGAGTTTTACTGGAATACAGGCATGCTCATTCATTTACATTATTGTCTAAGGCTACTTTCATGCTACAATGGCAGAGTTGTGACAGAGTGTATGGCCTGCAAAACCTAAAAACATTCACTATTTGGCTCTCTACTGGAAATGTTTGCAAACTTGCCTTAGAGGAATGACTGAATTCACATGTGGAGTAGGAAACATACATGACCCTGGACCATCTTTTCAGACCAGAAAACAAGATAGCCATATCATAGACTACTGTGATTGTGTTAAAATGACCCAGAGACCTATTTTGAAAAGCTCTCACTGGCCAAACATGAGATAATGTGAACATCAGTTAAGATAACTTCAGTAGACTAAAACATGTCAAAACGTTTAAATTCATGGATTTATAATGATGCTGAAAAACTCATTATTCCAAATATCTGGTAAATAAAGGAAGACATTTACCTGCCTTTCCTATATAAACTATACCTCAGGATAAGCACATAATTGATAAGGAAAAGTTTCTCTTTACAGAAGGATTCCAGCTAACAAATGAAGGACAAAATTAGAAAATCACCTAATGAAAAAATGGGTCGAAGGCAATGGCAATACAAAAGAGAAAGACAACTAAGCACTGTGCTTTCTGGTGGACATATACAATACCATCTCTGAGGGATTCCTGCCACCCCCCCACCCCCTGCCAAAATCAAACCTGAATTTGATCAAGCCTACAGATCAAATTATCAACTTAATGGAAGGAGAGGGAAAAGAGTAACATGTAAAGATACCACAGGGACATAATCAGTACAATCCAGATAGTGGCAAACTCTAGAAGATCCAGTTTCTTTGACAAGAAATTTCCAAGAAAAAAAAAGAAAGCATATTTAAAGACTTAAATGTTTCAGCCAAATGCAACATATGAACCTCATTTAGATCCCCAATCAAATAAACTATCAGTAAAAACATATTATGAGACAATTAGGAAAATGTGGACACAAACTAGGTATCTGATAGTAAGAAATTATTGTCTACTTTTTAAGGAGTAATAATGGTATTAATGTTTAAAATATCCTTATCTTTTAGATACATGCTGAGGTGCAGACAGATGAAATGATATATCTGAGACTTGCTTCAGAAAGAGTTCAGTTGGGGGTTGTTGGGTGTATAGAGTGTGTCACGACATGAGACTGACATGAGTGGGTTAACTGCTGAACTTGGGTGACTGGTACTTAGAAGTTCAATGTATTATTTTATTTTTAACATGTTTAAAATTTTCCCTGATAAAAAGTTAAAAATAAATAAAATATGCTCAATGCTGAGGAATTTTCCCCCATAACATTAAAGAAAAAAAAGAAAAGAAATCAATGAAGTTTATCTTAATGAGTAAGAAGGGGAAAAAATGAAAAGGACGCTGTGCTTTCTTCATGTGCCTGTCTGGTGAACCAGACAGAAAGGTCAGTCCTCCCCCTCACCCCAGCCCTTGGCAGGTAAGCACAATCTGGGGACTTCTGCAGGAGACTGAAAACATGAACCAGCCCCTTGCACTCTAGGCTAAAGCCCCTTGATGTAGGTTGGTTCCTCAATAAGTTGTCCCTCCGTCCCTCCTCCCCAGGGACCCATCATACCCCCCCCAACCCCCCCCACGCACCCCCAGACCAGCCCTCACCTGCAAGGGAAGTGATATTTTCCCATGGTTATCACATAGGGTGTGCTGGCACAACCACGATTAAAAAATCCAAATTCTCTCTCCAAGCTCCAAAGGTCTCCTCACTTACCCTCCCCTCTCCCCAAGGTAGAGATGCCCTATGAACAAAGGATACTGTACTGGTTCCGATGTTTTGCATTCTCCTTCATTCTCTGTAACTGCTGCTGGTGACACTTCATGCTCCAAGGATTATAGTGTTTAAGTTGGGAACTTACATTCCCCTTTTTCTCTAAACTGTAGTACAAGACTTCAGATTTCTTTAGCCACTCAAATTCTTCTTCTAACTTATGGCTATAAAGAGACAAGGAGCCAATAAATCAGTGTCTTATCAAAATTCAGGGCATGAAGGAACTTTCTGGAGTGAGGTAAAGTTTGATATCTTGATGTAGTGGTGGTTTCAGTATATACATTAAAGATTTCAGGGGCCGGCCCTGTGACTGAAAACTAAGTTCACACCCTCTGCTTCAGGAGCCCAGGATTTTGCTGGTTCGGATCCTGGGCGCAGACATGGCACCACTCATTAGGCGATGCTGAGGCAGCGTCCCACATGCCACAACTAGAAGGACTCACAACTAAAAAATATACAACTATGTACTGGGGGTATTTGGGGAGAGAAAACAAAAAAAACACTTCAAATGGGTACATTTTACTGTATATACATTATATTTCCAGAAAGTTAATTTAAAAAAAGATTAAGGGGCTAGCTCACTGTTCTTCTACAGTAAAGACAACCTAAGATGTAAGAGCAGCCTCTGCCTCCACTGCCCTCTTCTTCTAGACAGTACTACTCCCTGATTTCTGGTACATTCAGGTTCCCTGACTCTGAATGCTGGAGACTGGAAAAATGTGAATTGAAATTTCATGGGAATAAGTCAACCTACTTAGCTACGTTATACATACTTCAATTTATATACATTATTTATATTTTTAAAAGTTCTGCCAAGGTGTGGCACTTGAAAGGCTCTGCCTAGGTGGGTCCCTAAGATTCGGAGATGCCCAACTGACCATTTTGTTTCCCACTCTCAGTGAGCAAGGCTCGTCTTGGTCATTACTACATCCACAGGATGCAGCACAGGGCCTGGCACAGGGCAGCTGCAGAAAGAATGAGTGACTGAAACTCTTTTACATCTGCCACTGCAGCTGTTTACCCAAAATGGCATGATCTAACCCAGAGTCAATTAAAGAAAAGCTGGGTATGCCATGCAGGAACTGAGCACCAAATGAAAAGGTACCTACTAAGTCTCCATTGTGCAAGTTCTTAGCTCCGGGGACTGGGTTCTAACAAAGATCCCTCCCCTTTCACAGAATCAAGGGTTCCCTTCTCAGTCTATACACACCTCTTCATCTTCTCCTCTTTCCAGTGCTGCCGCACCCAGTCCTTGGGGGTCTTTTCCATTTCTAGGACGTGATGTTTTTTGTTTGTCCGCCTTAGGAGCTTACTTTTTGGTTCACAGTCTGAATTGTCTACACTGTCTGCAGTTCCATGGTCCCCTTTTAACGGATATGCTATTAAACACAAGTTCCTGTCTTCATCTTCTTCAAAGCGCACAGATACCACACCTGGAAGGGGGATGAGGAGCAGAGAGCACTCTTAAATCCACAGGAAGATGCTTTATAAATAACATGATTGTAACATTTGTTTTTTTCTTACCCTCTTCCTTAGTCTCTATGTTGCCAGAGGCCCCAAACTCATCTGCCATCCTAACAAATATCAAAACAGCTAGAAAAGATGACACCATACAAGACAAGCGATTAGGGAGCAAACATGGCCGAGAGTCTTCCTCTTTGATGCACTCAACAAGGCAGGAGCCAAAGAATTACAAGACACATTTTTCTGTCATCGAAAATGTTTATTAATTTTTATGTAATTCTTCTAATCCTAAGAGACATGTAAAAACATTCGCTCTTTATATCTTGTGAGAATTTTTAATGCCCTGAACAGAAACTCTGATGGCCTCGAGGCTTGCTTTAAAGCAGAGCCCAAACACAAGGGGAACAGGTGTGCCTGAGTGGTAAGAGGGATCCAAGGGTAAGGGAGGACTGGGCAAGCAAAACAAAATAAAGGAGCAAACAAAACAAACCACACAGCACAACAGACACCCTAGCAAAGGCTTCGCCACACTCCGACACAGGTGGGCGCCCCAAGCCTTTTGTCCTTCTCAAATATGTTACTTTATTGGTCTTTGCAGTCTCATGTCACAAAAGAACAATATGAACACAAGGCAAATAGGGCTGGGCCGGGAGCACAGGTGCGTGGTGGCCTTGAAAGCAGCTCTCCCCTTCGAGTCTCTAGAACCTGCCATGTGTAATTACAGTCTTTGAGGAGGGGGCTGTCAGGTGGGAGCGTTTCAGCAGGTGCCGACGAGCGCCTTACAACCGACTGGCTGAACACTTTTCCTCCCAGGCCTCTCTGGCCCAGGAACACTCAATTTGCTCAGTCCTTGCTGCCCGCCCGCTCGCTTGCTGCAGGGGAATGCGTGCTCAGAGAGAGACGACACTTCTGAGGTGGTCCCCGGCTCTGGGTGCAGAGGAGCCAGGGTGGGAAATTCAAGGGACCACACTTCCCTGTGGCCATGGTGGGGAGGGGAAGAACCAGGGGAAAAAAGGGGGCAGGGGTGGTCAGCTAACAAGGGGCCTTTGGCTTTGTCCTGAAAAAAAACAACAGAGAAGGACCAAGTGAGGGCCCCCAATTCCTCCACCCCCACAGCAAAATACATGCATATTCAGAATACAGAGAAGAGCCCCATACATTGTCTTCAAAGAGAGTGTTTCAACAGTCCCAGAAGAACTTACACTGTTCAAGAGTCTTTTGTATAACCAGGCAATGCTAATTTAAAATTAACTTCCTTAATGGATTCATCTTTGATTTACAAAGGACTCCCCCCTCCCCAGGAAAGACCACACCACACTGGCGGCTGCTGATGATCCCCCCCCCAAATGCATTATAAAAAGGAAGAAAAAGTCACCACATGTGAATCAAAGGGTTGTCTTAACATAGCAATTTTGGGGACATTCCGTAATAGCAAAGGGCTTCAGCTAATCAGCACAGGCCTCCCACTCCTGCATTCCATCTGACTCAACCCCGCTCCCAGCCTACCTAATCACCCGGGCTTCTGGCTTCCTGGAGGACAAAAAGCAGGCAGCAAGTATCCTGGGTAAAATCCTCCCAAAGTCTTCCCCCTTGTCCCCCATGAGGGACTATGGGTTACTGTGATCGAGACACACATGAACATAAAACACAACTATACTTCCACCAAAAATAAATTCAAAACGAATCCACAAAACAAAACAACTGAGCAATCTTACCAGGGCTTGAAAACTGAGTGTGAGGTGCCGGGTTGAGGGCCAAGAGGAGGAGGAGGGAAAACAAAGAATGAGTGGGAAGGGGTGGGGCTCCTGAGACGGATGCCTGGGCCTTCCACGGCGGCAATGCCAGGCGTTGGCTATCCCTACATCAGCTGGGGGCTCACCTTTGTACTGGGGAGTGAATCTGCGCATCTCGGCTGGGAGAGTCTCGTAGAACTGGTGCTCCCTCGGGACCAGGGGCTTGCACAGGGTCGTCTCGTTGAAGTGGAGCACACAGGAGTGCCCCCCGACCTGGTGGACAAAGGGCTCCAATAGGATGCCCTTGGCGCGGGGCTCTACGTCCATGGCCCTGAAGGCTGGGCTCATCCTCCAGGCGCAGGCGGCAGGGAAAAGGGGGAGGAGGCGGGGTCTGGCGGCCAGCGCGCCCTTCGTTTGTCGTCTGTGAGTCTGTCTGTCCAGCCTCAGCTTCTCGGTTGCGCGGGCCAGGACGTCCTGTTAGAAGCAAACAGTGACACGGGAGTTGGAAGCAGCCTGGGAACCGCCTAGAGCCGCTAGCCCTCCTCCTCCAGAGGAAAGACAAACACAGCCTGGGCTCACGCCGGGCCCCGCCTCCTCCCGCAGAAACAAACAGCCTGAGTTCTCGCCGGGCGGAGCCGGATGCTGACAGGCAGAGACTGGCTCCAGGGCCCCTAAACAGCCCCCATCCCCCACTCCCCACGGCATTAGAAAGCCACCATGGGGAGCAAAACGCGAAGCTATGACGCCACACGTGCATAGTCTCCCTCATTATCACTATCCCCTACCAGAGTAGTACATTTGTTACAAGTGATTATGAACCTACACTGACACATCATCCTGGTTTCATTAGGGTTCACTCTTGGTCGTTATGCTTTTATAAAATAAAATTTTAAAGGAAAAACTCCTTACACATCATCTATTAAGATTTACTCCAGTTCCCCAGTCCACACACACCTCCCTGCCCAAGGCCAAAGACATTAGCAGTGCAGATTGGGCCTAGCTTTAATGATTAACGTCTGTATCTAAAAACAAGTGATCAAGGCTAGCTAACTCCTTAAAAAGACACACAGTGTTCTAGGTCACTGACTATTTTAATCGGTTCTATGCTGATCTCCCAAAGCTGTGCTCCTGAGGTCCAGGGCTTTAGCGCTGACTTCCCATCCCCAAACACACTGGATCTCAGCAAAGCATATAACCGTTTCAGGGCATGTCAAGCTAGTTCTTTGTTTTCTGTCTATAACTTACAGACTACAGCATATCTAACAGCACTACATAGAGAGCTTGGGCAACACGTCAGTATCCATACAGGATTCTTACTGGGAACTCCTGGTTTCCATGACTCCAACTGAGATGGTGGTGGTGAGAATGGATCTACCAGAGATGTGCCCACTGTCCTCTAATGTGGGTAAAGCACCTATTATGTGCTAGGCTCATTACAGGAACTTATCTCATTTGGTCCTCATGATACTTTCTCTACATGATACCACATGTAGACATTGCTTTCCCTGTTGCAAACAATGAGGCTGATTCAGCAGGGTGAGGAAACTCATCCAGAGCCAGGAACAATAATCCACAGCTCCCAAGTGAACTTCAATCTGTTGGATGCTCCCACACGGCTGCCTCTAGGGCCCAGGGTCTCTGGCAAATCTGCCTTGGTACAGCTCTCCTACATACATGGGACATTTAGCCTGTCCCATGAGAGTGCTTTCACCATGGATTTATATTTTCTATTTATAAAGTAGCCCATTTTAAAAAGTCTAAGCTGGTTTTAATCTCTTTCTGTCAGAGAAAACCGACTGTGAGCCCCAACTTGACTCAAAGATTAGGAATCAATAAGCTTTTCTATATGCAAAGAGCAGAAAACCCAAAGTCTCTATTTCTCCCCAGTACTACCTTTTCATCATCACAGAAGCCTTCAGGAGGGAATGTGCTGAGAAGAGTCCCAAGACACAATACATGCAATCAGCTCTAAGGACAAGTACATTCCAGCCATTCCAGACTCTGTCCAGAAGGTGGAGCTCTAAGATGCCTGGCCACACACAAGCCCTTTCTCTAGGTCTATACTGACCAATCCATACTAGTCTACCGTAAAATACTTCTTGAGTAAGAGCAATACCAAAGGAAAACTACTGACTTATGGCTGGCCTGCCAGCACCCAAGCACGAAGCAGGCACCATAATTATTAAATTGTGAAAACACAAGACACTCCTCATGGACCAGGCTTTAGGAACACAATCCAAACCTTTCATAAAAATGTACAACTTCTTTTGTTATCGGAGCAATGCTAACAATGATACAAATCCCTTTCCAACTCTGTTCGAGATTCCTTAAATGTATTCAAGTAAAAAAATATCTTTCTCCAGGCATCTGTCTTACCCATCCCCCCCTCCAATGAAAAATCTAAAACAAAAACCAGTCCATCATGGCAGCTGTCTAGATTATGGTTCAGGGGTGTGGCTGGAGGCCACAAAGCCAGGTAAGGATCTCTAACTCATCCTCCTCCCAGGTCCCCAGTGTGTTCCTTAGTGGCTGAGTATGATGTGACACCCTGCTACCCTCCCATCAGCACCCAACTCTAGCAGGCCACAGGACATTGTTTCCCAAAGAAGAACCATCACCCTCGGTAGAAAGGCAAGAATACAGCTCATTCTCATCTGCGCCAAGTCTGATGGACAGAGGAAACTCCCAAAGGTGAGGGGGGATTAGAGAGACAATTTATTATCCTGTAGTGAGGAGGAGCCAGATTCTAGTCCCTGTTCTGCCACTCAATTGCTTGGACAAAGACTCTAAGCCCCTGACTCCCTTTGGGTTCCAGTTTTCTGGTCTGTAAAATGGAGAAGACAGGCCTGGAATAGATCTCTACTCTGCGGGCTGTGTAATCAAATTAGTGAATGGTAATCAGAAGTTTCTTTCTTTGTTTTCATCAACTAGGAAAAAACAGTAAATATCATTGCATTGCACATAATAAAGTAAGTCTCATTTAGTGGTTATTTTAATTACTATGTTCAGCCTCTCAATGTGAACGTAAGTATGGCTTCACCGTACAACATATTTCTCATATTTGGAGTTGCAGACAATAAACAGCAAAAAGCAGATAAGCAGTTGCCAGAGGGCAGAGGTAGGGGAATAGGATTGACGCACAGCTCTTACTGTAATGACAACTAACCTCTTGGAAAATTCTCTCTTGTAGAAAATCAGGCAAGAAAACAATGTTCACTGAAGAATAAACTTTAAAAGTGTGGGTACAAGAAGATTAAAATCCTATTACTGTTTAAAAAAATATACTAACTAGCATTCAGAAATTCTGGGTTGGTATTGAGTCACATCCCAAAGACCCAAGGTTTTCAGGTTGCTAAATTATCACCGAAAGATAATTATCCCCATCCTTTGCAGACAAAGTAAAGAAAGGCCATGGGTTGGTGCTGTATATGCTGAAGGTCTCTTCAGCAATGCTGGTGGGTCTGCCATCCAGCTTTAAATGAGGTGTCTCAGCAAGACAATGCAGAAGGAACATCATTCCCTCCATGACCTGGACTTCCAGGGAAGCTGTATAACAAACGAGGCACAAGCCCTGGTGACAAAACAAATATACAAAAAGGAGTTCTAGCAAAATAAAGCCAGGAAGGAAGAGAAAAGCTTTCTTCAATGTTTGCCTCGTGGGACGCATCAAGGACAGTGACTAACCAGACTGGCCCATCTGGCTACATGGTGTCAAACGACCATCAACCTCAGGAAAACTCCCACCACTGCTCCATAAAAATCAAGTCCCTCCACTCTTTTTTGTTTAAGATTTTATTTTTCCTTTTTCTCTCCAAAGCCCCCCAGTAAATAGTTATATATTTTTAGTTGCAGGTCCTCCTAGTTGTGGCATGTGGGACACCGCCTCAGCGTGGCTTGATGAGTGATGCCATGTCTGCTCCCAGGATCCGAACCGGCAAAACCCTGGGCTGCTGAAGCAGAGTGTGCGAACTTAACCACTGGGCCACAGGGCCGGCCCTACCTCCACTCTTAAAACAGCCCTCTGGAGTAGATACTATGATTATCTCCCTTACAGATGGGTGCACAGAGGCACCATGAGGTCACCATATTACCCAGGCCTCATCACAGAAAACAACAGGTACCTGACATGATGGAGTCGCTGCCAAGAATGCTGGAATCATAGTCTTAACCTCAAAGGAGTTGCAGCCTGGCTGGCTGGGAGGGTATCATCTCCATGCCAAAGCAGGTGCTGGCTCCACCAAAGAAGCAGGACCAGAGAGACAAGAAAGAGAAGCCCTGCAGTGACTTCACACAGATGCCTGCAGTCCAACACTAGGTGTTCCTTTTCTCCCTCATTAGCATTTTTCCCTAGTTTTAATAAAGGAAAAAATACAACTTGTAGGGGCTAACCCCAGAGGCCTAGTGGTTAAGTTCAGCACGCTCCACTTCAGAGGCCCGAGTTTGGTTCTAGGGCACAGACCTACACTGCTCTATTAGTGGCCATGCTGTGCTGGCTGCCCATACCAAAAAATAGAGGAAGACTGGCACGGAGGTTAGCTCAGGGCAAATCTTCCTCAGCAAAATCTAAACAATACAAGTTCTAAGTGAACTATTTCATGAAGTCACAATAATGCAGATCCTTCCCCCAAATTAACAGCAGATTCTGTTCCAAAAATCTGGATGAGCTTTTCCATAAGGGAAATAGCAGCCTCTCAGATGCTTCTCCTCTCTACAACTACCAGTAAGACAACACTGCCCCACCTCTTTGCCTTGTTAGACTGGATTTCTGCAATGACAGACTAGAGGCCCTAAAGATGGAGGGGGATGGAGAGAAGGAGCTTTTAGCCTACCTGAAAATATGTTCATCAGAGTTTTACTGCTGGAATTAGAGTTTTAGCAATTTAAGAAGCTTTTTCAGGCCAGCCTGGTGGCACAGCGGTAAGTTTGCACGTTCCACTTTGGCAGCCCAGGGTTCACCAGTCCAGCTCCCAGGTGCAGACCTACACACTGCTTATCAAGCCATGCTGTGGCAGGTGTCCCACGTATAAAATAGAGGAAGATGGGCATGGATGTTAGCTCAGGGCCAGTCTTCCTCAGCAAACCGAGGAGGATGGGCGGCAGATGTTAGCTCAGGGCTAATCCTCCTCAAAAATAATTAATTAAAAAAAAAAAAAGCTGGGGCCGGCCCCATGGCGGAGTGGTTAAGTTCATGCACTATGCTTTGGCGGCCCAGGGTTTCACCAGTTCGAATCCTGGGCGTGGACATGGCACTGCTCATCAGGCCATGCTGAGGTGGCATCCCACATGCCCCAAGTGGAAGGGCCCACAACTAAAAATACACAACTGTGTACTGGGGGGCTTTGGAGAGAAAAAGGAAAAATAAAATCTTTAAAAATAAATAAAAAATAAAAAGCTTTTTCTAGCTAAAACTGTAGTACCACTAATCTAAATTATTCTTTTTTTTTTTAAGGATTGGCACCTGGGCTAACAACTGTTGCCAATCTTTTTTTTTTTTTTCCTGCTTTATCTCCCCAAACCCCCCCTGTACACAGTTGTGTATCTTAGTTGCAGGTCCTTCTAGTTGTCGGACGTGGGACGCCGCCTCAACGTGGCCTGACAAGCGGTGCCATGTCTGCGCCCAGGATCTGAATCCTGGGCTGCCGTAGCAGAGCGTGCGAACTTAACCACTCGGCCATGGAGCCGGCCCCTAAACTATTAATTCTAAGGTGTCACATATCCTCTTCATCAGAATATCAAATTTTCTCATCAACAGCTGAAGTATTCCATACGCACACCAAGAATTTGCTGTCCTTCTTAAAAAGCCCGTTACCTCTCTTTCAAGGGCAATTCTCCATCTCCAGTCTCCTCCTCCTTGGTGCAGACTATGACTCCAACCACCTTGTAAGAAACATACACAACAGAAAATGACTCTCTCAGACTATGGCCAAAATTGCTCTGAGGTCTTGATCCAATGGGGACTTTCCTACCTTGAGCCATAGTCCTCTCATGTGCCAATAAGATTACACGCTCCCTGCCTGTGGTCAATATTTACCCCTGCTCATCTCTCAGACTATTTCCAAACTAGATGACACATGAACTCATCCTCTGAAACAAAGAATACCAGAAATGATTCAGTCCTCATGGGCAACCACAAAACCCAGGCAGCCCCGACTTGGCCACGCCATCACCTGCTAGTAGAGGGACCAAGGTGTGCCCTGCACTGTTGCAGGTCCTATGCACAGGAAGCACAATTTCCTCTGGGTCCTCATGACACCTCGATCAGGTGAATACTCCCCTCGAGGGTCTGCAAAGCATCTCAGGCTCACAGCACTAATCTGGTGGCTTTTCTTATCCAACCGCTCTGAGTACAGTGTTCTTTCACGACGAGCCAGAAAAGAATGAGATACGGGAGTGAGAAAATTCTTGACTGTACAGGTCACAGCACTACGTCCTAACACAGAGATATGCGCCAGTCATCCTCCATGAGTCCTGAGATTTCTTTCCAAAATAAGGCACAGCAAGATAATAAAAAATTTCTTTGAGGAAAATCAAGTTCAACCACACCACAGTTCTGAAGGAAATCACACAATGACCCTTTCAGAATCACTTGGCTTGTGAGAAGGGCAGTGAATTCAGTCAATCAAGAGCTCATTTGAGGATTGGGAGGGAAGGCCAAGGGGGTACTTCCACTTTTTACATCTTACCACTCTGTTACCCCTCTGGCTCTAAGGTTATTTTCAAAGTAAAAACACTCTTTGAGAGTGAGATAAATCATTCCTGGGAGAGGGGTAGCCTGTCCCTTCCTTTCTCAGCCTTCACCTGCCCCAGATCTGCTGGCCACATCCATCAGTTTTTTGGGGCCCAGAGTCTGTCAGTTGCCATCTGGCACTGCTGCAAGGTCCACCCCTGCAAATGTCCCAGGACCTAGCAGCCTGTGCTTACACAAAAATGCACATCCAATGTTAGTTTTATACTTGTAAAACAAAAATAACCTATTACTCTTATCAAACAAGCATTGAAAGGGGATGCAAGATTTTGGCATTCCCCAAGAGAGTAAAATGAGCTCACATAGCCCATGGGCAGATTTCTCAGTGTGCAGCTGTGGAAAGGAAAGTCCGTTGGCCCTGGAGCAGCCCAAACGAAAAGATGAAAAAGGCTCAAGGCAAGGACCTGTGGTAGGCTCTCTGACAGGTGGAGTTAAGGTAGAGCAATGTGGCTCAAGGGACTTGGGACAAAGCAGCAGCTGCCCACAAACACAGCTTTGTGGGATCCAGTCCAGGTACCAATAGGGCACATTCTCAAAAACTAAGTGCAGAAAGAGCAACACTACAGCCAAGTGTTCTGCTTCCCAGTCTTTAAGATACCTTATTTCATTAAAAGAAAAGTTTTACTCTTCCTTAGACTTAGGATTGGACATCCAATTTCTAAAACATGTATGAGCGTCTCTATGAGGAATTTTAAAATGTAGACAAAGAGAACAGATTAATGGCTACCAGGGGAAAGGTGGGTGGGGGGTGGGCACAAAGGGTGAAGGGGTGCACCTACAACACGACTGACAAACAATAATGTACAACTGAAATTTCACAAGATTGTAACCTATCATTAACTCAATAAATATTAAATTAAAAAAACAAAAACCCGTACGAGTGTCTCGAACAAGATAAATGGATGCATACATAGAGATAACAATAACACTAAATGATCTCCCATTTTGATCAACTATGAGTTTCAGTTAAATACATTCACAAGAGTTAAACAAAACAAAACCCGGCAGTGCAAAGAAAGCTTTGTGAATTCTCCACGACAGAAAGCAAGCAGAAGAGGCCCAAGCTGACTCCAGCTGCCTAGAGGGGCTTGTGATAGCAGACACTGAAGCTTCTTCTTCAAATCACAAGGGTTTCAAGAAAACCCAAAGCCTGAAATCCTTCAGTCCAGAGAGGAATGAGACTTCTCATCATCTCAAAGTGGCCAGGAACAAAAAGAACACAGGTAAAAGACCTAGCACAGTGAGAGTCCCAGGAACAGCAGCTGTAGGTGTTATCATTTTTACTTTTTGTGGATAGGATCCTGTAGGTGTTGACCAAATCACTTCAGCAACAGCTATATTTCACGAACATTTAAAATCAAATCAAAGCACGACTTTTCTGTTGTAACCATGTGCTTGTTTTGCTACCTGTTCTAACCTGGATACCACATCTAGAAACTACCATCCTCCCAATCATTTCAGTCTTAACTAAGTGGCATCTTGGTGGCATAAGGAACAAAAATGCTTTCTTGTTATCCAAATGTTAACTTGTGGCCACCATATACTAATAATGCTGATGCGTCAATGGGAAAGATGTTATCTACTTGTTTTCCATAGCTTAACCCTTACTTGTAAGACTGAATTAGCATAACTTCAACTAGAAGAGAACACTATTAATGAAAACTTACATTAAAAACAAACATAAAACCTTGAAAAACACTGGAGAAAATATCTATAAACAGAAAAATGAATCAAGGGTGCACCTGAGCAGGATTGTAAGGGCCAACAAAGTCTTACGGAGCAAGTCAAAGTCCTCATCTTCCCTCTAACTGCCCATGTGGAAAATGGCAAAATGGTAACGTGCTACAGCTACGTGCTCCCTAGTCACAAGGCAACCACCTTCAGTTTACAAGGCACACCATCACAACTGACAGCAGGGCAAGCTAGGCAGCACTGACTTGCTTCCTCCCTCCACCCCTGAGGCTTAACACGGCACAGGGTCCTTTAAACAAGCCAGGGTTGAGAGGACATTCGGGAAGACTGATGGGCCGGTGGGGAGGGGGAGTATATGAGGGATGAAGGATACAGGATTTCTTTGGGGGTGCATAATATGGTATGTGAACTGTATCTTAGCTGTTAGTAAAAAAGAAAGCAACACAGTAAAGAGGTCACACCACCACAGAGATCACAATCAGCTCGAGGTAAAGGTTCCAGTGTCAAATCTCCATTACTGAGAGGTGAGGACGAAGTGCTCAGGAGGAAAGCACCTCCAACTGTGGCTATGGGAATGTCAAAGATGCAACCAGACAAACTGGAGCAGAACTAATTCATGAAATATGTGGGAAAAAGTGTAACTTCTAAAGGAATACATTATTTTAGATAACTAAATATGTACGTGAAATTAAAGACAATAAATATTACAAGAAATGAAACTTTCAAGTACATCTCTATAAGTTAAAACTCTTGAGTTGAACCAAACAATTCTTCTTAAATCCTTTCCCTGAGAAATTGGGGCCTGCCTTATATTTAGGTATAAATGGTGCTTTACCTACCCTCAGTGCCTGTCTTCATGTGTAAACCAGGCATGGTACAGTTTTATAGAGGTGCTGTGATGTGGGAACAAGATTAAACATCTAGCCTACTGCCTGCCTTGCATGCAGTGCACTCCTCAAACATGAACTGTCCTCTGTCCACTGTCCCACAGTTCCTCCAAAGAGTCCAATGGGAGATGAAGGTCAGAGGGTGGACTTAACAGTACAAGAGGATAACGGTACATTAAGCTTACACTTGCAGAAGGAGGATGAAGGCTTCAAGACCAGGTAGATAAATGGAGAGTGCCAAGAGACATCCTGTTTAGCCCTTAAACAGATTTTTTAACTGGTTATAAGTGTGATAAAATGACCACCAATAATAGTTTGGTATCTCTTCATCCCATAATTTTCTTCTATGCATAAACAGGGTAGGGCTAAATGTGTTGTTTTGCCTTTTTCCCCCAGTAAAATCAGCTTTATTTCCCCCTTACTTTTTAAAATTGTGATAAAAAACATACATAATATACAATTTATCATTTTAACTATTTTGGGGTATACAGTTCAGAGGCATTAAGTACATTTACAACGTTGTGCAACCATCACCAACGTCCATCTCCCGAACTTTTCATCTTCCCAAACTGAAACTCTGTCTATTAAACAATAACTCCTTGCTCTCCCTATCCTCCAGTCCCTGGCAACCACCATTCAACGTTGTCTCTATGAATCTGACTACTCTAGTTTCTCACATAAGTAGAATCATTCAATATTTGTGCTTTGTTTTGCCATTTTTTCCCCACTAAACTATATGCCTTAAACATCTTTCCACATCTTTGTCTATATATGATTCCTTCTAAAGGCTGCACAATATTCACACATAATCATAAAATATTTATCAACTGCCCTACTGATAGTATGTCCAATTTTTTATTACAATAATAATGCAGTGAGCATCCATGTATGTCTTTGCACACTTGTGGAAGTATTTCTCTAAGAAAAATTCCTCAAAGTAGAACTGCTGGGACAGAGCATAGATTAAAAAGGTTCCATCCAAATGCAAACTAGTGCAGCCACTATGGAAAACAGTATGGAGATTTCTCAAAAAATTAAAAACAGAAATACCTTATGACCCAGCCATCCCACTACTGGGTATCTATCCAAAGAACTTGAAATCAGCAATTCCAAAAGTCCCATGCACCCCTATGTTCATAGCAGCATTATTTACAATAGCTAAGATGTGGAAGCAACCTAAGTGCCCATCAACTGATAACTGGATAAAGACATGGTATATATATACATAATGGAATACTATTCAGCCATAAAAAGGATAAAATCGTCCCATTCACAACGACATGGATGGACCTTAAGGGTATTATGTTAAGTGAAATAAGCCAGATAGAGAAAGATGAACTCTGTATGACTCCACTCAGAGGTGGAAGTTAAACACAGAGACAAAGAGAACTGATTGGTGGTGACCAGAGGAAAGGGGGGTGTGGGGGGAGGGCACAAAGGGTGAAGTGGTGCACCTACAACATGACTAACAATAATGTACAACTGAAATTTCACAAGGTTGTAAACTATCATAATCTTAATAAAAAGTCAAAAAAAAAAAAGGTTCCATCCACTGTTTCACCCTGACACAATATATGTGAGCCACTGCAGATTTTAAAGCAGGGTGGTGACATTTTATGTTAGGAAAATTAACAAGGCAGAAGGACAAGGGAAAACTTGGCTTCAGAGAGGCACTGCAGATGACTACTGCAGTAACATCAGTGGAGGGATGCTGGCAGCAGGAACTAGCATTTATTAGGAACTTTCTCTGTTTGCATTCTATTTTTTTTGGTGAGGAAGACTGTTGCTAAGCTAACATTTGGGCCAATCTTCCTCTAATTTTCTGTATGTAGGATGCCGCCACAGCATGGCTTGATGAGTGGTGTGTAGGTCCACGCCCAGGATCCAAACCCGCAGAACTGTGGGCCGTGGAACCCTGGGCCGCTGAAGTGGAGTATGCAAACTTCACCACTACTCCGCTAGGCCAGCCCCTCTGTCTGCATTCTGAAGGAGCAAACGAAGAGAGACAACTCCTACACATATTAGAAGTACACGTGAAAAAGGGGGTTTGAAGAAAAATTTTAAAACTTTATAAGGTAAATTTGTAGGCTCGTGAATTTAATATTTGGTTATTTAAAGATGTCAAAGCCAAAGGTGAAAGAAGAGGAGCTACACTCCCTTCACAGTCCTGAGCCTGAGAGTTTTCTGGAGGAAGAAGAACACAGCAGGAACACCCCTAAGAGAGCTGCAACCCCTAGGAGGCATGAGGACTAAGACCAAGCTGACCTCTCCATAATTTCCCAGACTGGGCTTCCTTCTCTGATGGGTCTCTCCTCCTTCAACCCACGGTGGGGGATGAGGAAGAGTCCCTGACAGCCCTCAGGTTCTGGGGCCTCCAAGGCACCAGGGCTGTTCTCTCCAGTATCTGTTTCATCTGGAATGACCTTTTTTTTTTTTCAAAGATTTAAAAAACTTTTTCCTTTTTCTCCCCAAAGCCCCCCAGTACATAGTTGTATACTTTTAGCTGTGGGTCCTTCTAGCTGTGGCATGTGGGGTGTCATCTCAGCATGGCCCAACGAGCAGTACCATGTCCACGCCCAGGATCGTAACCGGCGAAACCCTGGGCCGCTGAAGCAGAGTGTGCGAACGTAACCACTCGGCCATGGCGCTGGCCCCTGAAACGACCTCTTTAATGTCACCTCCCCCCACCACTGGCACACCTGGCAGGGCACAGGGTCTCCTGCCTTCTCCACTGTACCCACAAAGCCTGGTGCCTTGCCTAGCCCACACAGGGGAATTAAGGAAGGAAAGGAAAGGAGAGTAGAGAAACAGGACTTGGTAGATGGCTAGGTATAACACACTGTTCCTAACACTTGAGGGGGGTGACTGACCCCCTAGAGAATCTGAGACATCTGTGGGCCTCTCTCCTGAAAAATGCCCACCCTCACTGAACTCTGCATAGTCTGGGGAGTGGGCAACCATAAACCCCATCTTCAGAACTCCTGATACAGGAAAACAAACTAAGGGATGAGTCAGATACTGAGCCTTCACGAAACAGAACAAGGATGTTTTGTTCACCAAGTCAGGAACAGCTGAGAAGATACTGAGTTGAGCTTCAGATATTTAAATACAAGAGGAT